TCTAAATCCCTTTGAAAAATATGCTCATCAGTGCTGTAGGTAACATTCCAATGCCAGTCTTGTTAAGGCTACACACAGGAGTAAATATTTCCCCTCTTTCTGTTAGTTACACCTCTGTTTATGCATATTGAACCTCACAAACATCCCCCTGTATCCTCATCCTTGCCTTTAGCGTTAGTGGTTCATGTCAAAATACTACATTTGACCCTGGCAATTAAATGTGCTTTTCAAGAAAAGACTTTCACAAGTCAAATCCTTCTATGCTGTGCTAGCTAAGCTGACTTCTACAAAACAGCTAGGTCTGAACTGTGGTTTAACTGTTTTACCAAATGACTTCCTAGACTTGGGCTTTGTAGGACAGTAGTCTGCACTGCTGATGAGCAGCTGTCATGTTGGGAAAACTGAGGTATAAACCGGATTGTGTCAGTCTTTGCCTTTGTGCTGACTTGGACTATGTCTCTGAACCCCAACAAGCAGTTGATGAATTCACCAAAGCCATGGATTTCACCAAGAAATGCAAGGACTTGGCAGCTCCAGGAACCAGACCTAATTTTCTTCAGATCTTAGCCAACTTTTAAAGGAGAACCTAGTTGTCTTTAGAGCACTCAAAACTAATGAAACATTGCTTTGCATTTGCTTGAAAGAGGAGAGACCACACGGTAAGAAACCAAATTAAGTTACAGTAGGCTGAGGTTCATCTTCTTCTGAAAGGAGGTTTCCTGTGGACGCCTGAGCAAGTGGGTGAAGTAAGCGAGCCAAACTGAAAGCTGGCTGCTGTAGAGAAGAAAAGGCTGCATCGTTCCAGCTTCTCCCTTGCCTGGCTCTATTCCCATCAGGTCCTTGCTGACTCGACTGGATACAATTCAACTTTTACAGGACTTATTCTCTGCCAGGATAGCCCTTTAATGTTGCGCTCTCTGATCTGGTCAGCCTATGACTCTGCCTCCTCTTTCATTGTTGGGACTTCCAGAATAGAAACCATCTCAGTAAACAAGGACACGTAAGGTGGACTTCCATTGCCTAACATGGTAATTGATGTCATTAAAGGTATTTGGGAGCATCTCTGGCTGATCTCCATCCACTGTTCCAGAAGGACTTAGATGTCCTTCTAGCCCTACTTCATAACTTGGTATCCCATGCATATCTTAGATACCCCGGGTTAGCTGAAATGTCTTAAGCACCTCTGGTTCAGCAACTGAATCCCACTCATACAATGGAACTTCAATACCAAAACCATATACCTTCACTAAGATGTCTACAATATATGTTCAAGATCCTACATGGTGAGCAAAGCTCAAAACACTCGTGCTGAGACTGTGAAATTAAGTATCTTAATTTAGAACTGCAGCCCGTCTACTGAGTGCAGACATCTGTCCAGGATTCAGTAGTCTAAATAGTCTGAACGTGGCCCATTTGAAATGCCTAGAGGAGAAGACTCCAATGAAAGCACAGGGATTGCCAAGCTGCAATCTTATCCTCCACTGCCTCTCATGTCCTGTGTTAGATGACAACCAGCTCCAGACATGTCAGGGGAAACTGCAAGAGGTATTATAGGGTACTGAGATGATCTACCCACTCTCCCTACCTTGGAGAGAGAAGGGGCAGACTTGCACCACAGCCAGATGCCATCCAGGACACATTGTAAGTGGGAGAAGACCCCACCACAGACACTGCTTCAACTATCCTCCCACCTGGCGGAGGTGGTTTGGGATCTCTCTGAGAAACTGATAGAAAAAGAACACAAGCATTCATTAGAGCAAGGAGAACAGCTGTCACTATGGCTAGGTTATTTTCATTTCATAGCTGGAAACATATCTGCTTGGGGGTTTTTTGTTTGTTTTTATCTGGGCAAGACCATTGAAGAGTTACATTTGTAGAAACACATTTTCACATAAATCAAGAATATTGATGTTTGGCAATTTCTTCTTGATTGTTTTCACAAAAAAAATACACGTTCAAGAAAACAAAATTATTTTTGTGCCTGTTGTGAAATACTCTTCCCCTTTGAAAAAGTTTCAACCAGCCCTATCATTAAATATTTTAATGGATTAGCCTGGAAAGATGGTAACATTAACAGAAAAGAAAAAAACAGATTCCTTTACCAGTCACAGCTCTATCTGCAATGATGACTTCATCAAGGTAAAATGACCCAGATGTTTCCTTTTGCAGCACGGGGCTCAGCAAGTCTATCTGATGCACAAACACTGGGGAATTGGCAGGGAGGTCCTGGAGAAGCGTGGAGAGATTCACACACCCCTTCCAGAGGTCAGTGCAGGTAAATGTCCAGCTGGAAGACACCAAGGTTGTGCAAGCTCTTTTTGCTGTGAGGTAGTGGTAATAACTGACTTTTGAGGTGCTTTGTGAAGCTTCCAGGTAACACCAGGTACTGCTGTTATTACTATTGTTATTTCCTCACACACAAGACACTCGCTCAATGGCTTGTGATCACTCTCTACCTGTCACTGTTGGGTTCCCCATAGTGAGAAACAAAGCTTTAGATCTCCGCTTAGGTGTCCTCCTCTGCATCACAGGAGTGGGATGTGGGAATGACTACTGCTGCTCTATTTTTGGCAAAACACTACGATAGCATCAGTGACCTCAACGGGGGTCAATCCAGAGTTCAGACCCCTTGGGAATACCGGCTGATTGCTCAAGGCTCCCAGCTCTCTCCACCATGTACTGATTTAATCCCAACCCCTTCTTCCCCTTCCAGGCATGCACTCACACCTCTCACGCAACCTTACAGATACCCAAACTACCCACTTCACTTCCTGAAGTTCTTCAGACACTCCTGATTTTTGAAAGTCTTGCCTGCCCCAAGCTTTACATCTAACATCAAATGTTTTCTACCCATGTAATTCTAAGAGAATAAAGAAAATCAAAGACTACACCAATTTTCAACACTTTGTGTGCCAATGATCTCATGAGGTTCCTAGGGAAAAAAAATAAATCCATTCATCTCTCTGTCTCAGTACAGAAAATCCACTGACTATTGCCAAAGAAACTGGGAAATTAATGTCTGCAGAAACCTTCTGGTGTGCTTACCAGAGACAGAACAAACTCTCCATCTGTGCATTACTACAGTGAGATAGTGCACATAACAAGAAACATGCAAACTTGCTCAAAAAATCCTCAAAAATAATGGATTCTTTGCATTCTTTGCAGAATGCTCTGCAGGGACAGAGCATGTGTCAGCTTACCCCAACTGGCAATTTGTTCCTATACAAATAAGAACTTCTCTCAGTTTCCCTAGTACACCTTCTTACTATGGAAAGTATAATCTCTGGATATTATAAGTGTCTATTAAAGTGGATACCTTTTAAAGTCAGTTTCATTGAAATCCCATAGGCAGGTGAGGTTCCTCTTCACATTGGTGAAGGACACCAAGATATGAAGGATATTGCTCATATGGCCTTTATGTGCAAAACACACCTGCAAAAATGGGGAAAAAAAATTTCACAACTCAAACCACAGGTAATTTATATGTAATGTCTGTAGAAGATATTATATTCTGTTTCAATCCCAGTTTAACATTAGTAGGGAAATATGTTGTTCAAGCTCAGCAATAAAGCCCGCTGCTTAAGACCAAATTGCCTTGAATAGCACCTACAGAAGACAGTGCATGACACCCAGGTGACCTGTGTGCCACCACATAGCATGAAACGGACCCCTTAGGCTTCAGTGAGGTTTTGGGGCAAAACATAGCTGGGAAGTACCAATAGGGATTTCAGGTATCTGCGAGGGAGGAAAGGAGACTGAAGGAGTTGGTTTGATTTGCGGGGTACAAGGTTTGGGATGGGCGTCAGGTGGGGAAATAGGACGGGAAGAGGTCTGTGAAGGGGAACTGGAAGGAGTCTGGAAGGACTGCAGGAGGCTCTTGGGATGAGTCTTTACCTCCCGCCTCCTTCCTTTCAACCCCCAACTATTTGTCTTCCCCCAGGCGGCAAAGAAATGGTGACAGAGTTGAAATCAAGACCTTATTTCTATTAAAAGTAGATGTAGAAGATGAGCAGAAAAGTGGGCGAGAGTGGACACCCAGATGACAAGGGTTTTTTTCCTTTTGTCAAGAAGTGGTCATCCCTGCACCTTCCATCTTTTCCCAACACTACCCCACCTTTTCCTTTCCTTCAGGAAGGGTTGCATCCCCAGGAGCAGATAGCAGCCAGATGTGTTAAACAATATCTACGTCTCAGGGATCTCAAACTATCCACCCAGTCAATAAAAGACACTCTATTCTGTCCACAAACATAGTCCAAAGACATGATCCTTTGTGGATTTGGGGGAAGTCTAAGCAGACCAGATGATTTTATGTTGCTGATTGGGCTCTGAGTATTCAGTACCCAGTGCAACCTACTCATCAAGAGCAGCCACTTACATGCGTGTATTCAGTAAGATCGTATCTTGGTAGAGTTGATGGGGAAGTTTTCACCAGCTGGCTTGGTCTGTGAACACTGAACCTCCCACAGAAAGGCTCTGTTCCACTGACGATGTGACCTGTGGTAATGACGTCCTTCATATCTGACAGAGATAAAAAAAAACCAAGAGGGGATGAGAGGCTTGAAAATGACTCAGAAGACACCAGTACAGCCAAGAGATTCATGAAGATACAGGAAGCGGGTGTCCAAAATTTGTCAAACAGTCCTACTCTTAAGTATTCTCCTGCCCAGATAAATGGTGAACATCTCCAGGACAACTGTTCCCCAGCTTAAGGGTGCTGAAAGACAGAAGGAGGGACCATTAGATTACTGTTCTGACCATAAAACCTCATGGCAAATAACACTGTCTTTAGCCATATAGAGTATGTTTGACTAAATCCACCCTTCCTTTCCAGAAAACACTCAGACAAAGCTGGAAATGTATGTATAAAACAACAGTGAATCCACTTTCCCCTTCGGGGTGTTTGTTCCATTGGTCTATCAACCACGCTGCTGAAAAACTGCTAGGATTTCTTTTCTTCCTTGTACATAAAAGACTTTCTTCTGTCACTACATACTGACAATTCACATTTTCTTCCAGTAAGAGAAATAAAGCCTGCAAAATGAAGTTAATAGCAGAGTTAAAAAAAAAAAAAAAAAAAAAGAAGTCAAAAGGAGGTAGCTGTGGTTCTTTGCGCGAGTGTTGGACCTGTTGAAATCTTCACTGGAAGGAATTATGAATGTCGTAGTTTAGCTGTGTTCAAGGGGAGATTATGTAAATACAGGGAAGGGAGGGACACTGAAGGTAAGTAAATTAAAAAACATATTACACTCAGGAAATTAATTGAGCTGAAAATACTTCATATTTGGAGAGAATTAATGATGAATTATTATACATAATCATCCAGTTTTCACTCTTCCCTAGGCATCTATTTTGGTTTCTGGTGGACGGGACACTGGGCCAGATGGACCCTAGGTCTGAATGCGTGTGGCTGTTCTTTTATTTTCCTAGCACCCATTCACCACAATTTCACCATTGTTCTGATGTCTTTTAACATTATCTACATTTTACAATCACCAATGACAATTCAAGTTCTCTTTTGTTCTACTTGTTATGCATCAATTTTTATTCCCACTGTACTGTTGAATTATCATTGGCTTTTAGCTAAAGCTTTCCTCTTTTTTGCTGGCAGAATAGTAGATTTGGGATCACATTAAGAATGTCCAGTTGCTATTTTCATTTTTCTGCATAAAGCTTCCCTCCCTCCCCAATTAGGGTTAATTAATTGCTTTCCTCCACTAGGAGGAATCAATCACCAAATATTACTGGCTGGGACCTGTTCTCTCTCTCCATACAGAATACAAGAACATGATACGAGGTCTCTGGGCAATCATCTACTTTTTGGCATAGGATAAGTATACCATTATCGCTGTCAGATATAGAATCACAGAATGGTTTGGGTTGGAAGGGACCTCTAAAGGTCATCTAGTCCAACCCCCCTGCCGTGGGCAGGGACATCTGCAACTAGAGCAGGTTGCTCAGAGCCCCGTCCAACCTGACCTTGAAAGTTTCCAGGGATGGGGCTTCTACAACCGCCCTGGGCAACCTGTTCCAGTGTTCCTGGAGTTACTTTCTACTAGAGTAGCTTTCTGATGCGTGCAACACCTTCAATGTTAGAAAACTTTTATCGATTTTTTTTTTTTTTTTACAAAAGCGATTGGTGTTTTACACCTTGCCTGATCCAGTCAAGTATACCACAGATATTTGCACTGTTTCACTTTCAGTCATCAAGAAACACTGAAAGCAAAGACCTCCAGAGTCAGAATCAGCCATTTCCACAGCCTGAGCTGTAGCTATGGGCTACACCAGATTTGTTTCCCCAGCAGAGATATTGAAACATGAATAATTTCACATGCCCCAGAACTTGCATTTTTCTCTCTATTCCTAACGTTTCTAACAACCAAAACATATCACTTGCTTTGATAAGTGTGTTGCAATATGACTGAGTCATACAATGTATTACAGAAAGAATCTCTCATTATTACATTAATCATGTTTTTAATATTAGTTCCATAAACTCCCCCATCAGAATACATACAAATAATGAATAGCTGAGAAACATAAATATATGTACTTAAACACATTAAAAGTGTAAATTTACTATCATTAAAAGTTTAAAGTACATTTATTTCATAAAAGGAAATCAACTCTCACAGTAAATATTGCTTATTTGTCACAGAAGGTCACTACCTTCTTTCTCAAAGCCATCACGGAAAAGGATTTTTGCAGAAGTTGGCTCAGTTTCACATCCTATTGAAAGAAGTTCCTCTATTGCTGTTTGGACCTTTAAAAAAATTAAGAAAGTGAAAAGCAGTCACAGTACAATGGTGTCCGGATCATTTCAGCAGAGAGCTTCAACACACACGTCATCACTACAGTTTTCATCAGCTAGGGACCGGTGGCAAGGCAGCTCTGAACAAGCAGGTAGCCAAATGGTAGAGAATAAAATTCAGCTCAACACAGTGTGAACTTCCATGTCTGATACCCTTCAGGGGTGAGAGACATCCCTTAGGTGTCCAGCAGCCTCCTCAGAAAGGTGCAGATTTCTTACATGAGCTACATCACAGCCTGGGCATCCGCATGCCCCTCCAGGCTCCACTAACTGTCGACCAGGTGTCTAATGACTAGCATGGAACTGTCACCCAGAGTAGTTTTAACAGTGACCAACTACTGCATCAAGAGACTATGGGATTTTGAAGAGGATACATCAGAGTTCCTGTCTGAAGCAAGAGCCATACACTACACTTCTGGTCTTAGAGGAGAAGTCCAAGGGTCTGGTATCTGAAGATACCACATACCTCATTGCAGACATGACAGGCCAAGATCAGATGCTGTGATATGCTTAGAATATACCTGGGAGTCAACCCCCCAAAAATCCCATGGCAAGACACTCCCAGTAACAAACATCACCCCTACATCATGTAAAAATTCTTTCAGCTTCTGGGCCAAACGCTTAACTGCTGTCAAGTACCAGAGCTCCATCAGTTACACCCCAGCAGAGGATTGGGTGTCTGCATTTAATGACACCTACCTGGCGAGCGGTAGCATTTGTGGGGATCATTCTGTGCAATATGTTATTCCAGGAGATACTGAAACATCCTGTACCGGACACAGTCAATGTCTGGCAAGCAAAGAAGCAAATAAATAAATGAAACCAGATACAAACTGCATGAGACACACAGACTTCAAACCTGGTATCTGAGGTACCTGAGGAGGATTTTACAGGCAGCATTTTGCCTTTTTAAGCCTCTGTAAATCAAAAGTCCCTTCAGCTACTCTTAAACTGCTCTTGTCCTCCATGGTCTCTCCTGACACAAGCCCTGGGCTCCTGTTCTTAGATTAGCGGGAGCACGAGGGATACACGACCTGTGCAGACACACTGACAGCCACAAATGGTCCCTAAAGCTCCCGAGCTGCAGCTGTGGGGTTTAACCACCAGAAAAAGCTTCCCTCGCTGCTGAGCGCTTCATCAAGCTGTAAGTTTCTATCATCTGATTACAATATAGGGTCGACCAGATAACACACACTGAGTGTGTTGTCACTAAGGAGGGAAAACAAAAACTATCCTAAACTTGTATTAATTTGCATTATTTAACAAGGTGAGGCATTAATGGGTGAGATAAAACCTGAGGGGGAAGTCAGCATTGCTTACACTTTAACACGAGCAGATTATAATGCAGCCGTAGGGTTTACATACGCCCAGCAATGTGTGTAAAAACCACAAACATCTTCAGCTCATGACGCTATTCTCATCAACCATCTCAGCAGGTTAAAACCAAGGTGGGAACACATTTTCACGTCTAGCACTGACAAGGCCATTACAATTAGGATTTGCTGCCATCCGTGTGAACTGATTCAGGGCTAGTCCAGCTCCCAGGGTCAAGCACACAGCACTGACCTGCACTTCTGGAAGATGCAAGGCGCGAGCCCGAATTTCGTGTCTCTCGATGTAGTAGTTGTTCACCACTTGGGGATTCAGCCACGTGTTATGTATCTGGACTCCAACTCTCATCCCATTGCTGGGTGCCTTTCCATGATGCAGCGCTTCCAGGTAGTACCTCGAACCAGCAGTTAGCTCAAACTTCTGGGATTTTGGCTGCCAACGCTCACTCCAGCTCTTCAACCAGTTCTCAGACCACTCCGAATTGCCGGCAGGGAGAGAAGCTATTCTCACCTGTGTCCAGACCAACCAAATCAATCAGTTACAGAGACATTTCTCCAGCCCCAAAAGACACTTTGTCCAATACCACAGCTCCAAAAAAACAGACTTGTGCTTATAGCTGATAGCAGTGGGTTGATGGTTGACACATTTCTTCCTATTATACAGGAAAGAGCCATCATCTCAAAGAGCTTTGGTTTAGGGTTCAATATCATAAAGAAGATAATTCTTATGGCTGACCCCAGCCCTAACAACAGTTCCCCATGCAGCTTTTCATGGGTGACTTCAGTTCTACATCTCATGTTCTCCAAATACAAAAGAAAGAACTATGTCTACAGCCTTCTGAGATGTAGCATGTTACCACTAGTAAGACCAGTAATGCTACATTTTTTTTAATAGATAAGTCCTTTATATTTCTTCTAGCCCTGTTCAGTTACTAGGCTTAAGAATAGCCCAGAGAAATAGATCACCTTCATTTATAGCATCCTCTCAGCTTTACAAAGGGAAGGACCAATGTTTTCAGAGGGCAAAATTTCAGCAGGCAAAAAAGGAGGTAAACTGAGGAAGACAGACAGCAAGCCTCCAGGTTCCCTTGCACAGACTGTTGGTGATGGTGATGCGCTGAACTAACAAAAAGGTCTTCTGCAAAAGACGTTAAAAGACTCTGGTTGCAAGAGTGAGTTTTTCATTGGTTGAGCAGCCGATAGGACCAATGTAAAACATCAGATATAATCATACAGATTTCACTCTGCAACAGATTCATAATAAGGGCCAATAAGCCAATTCACACTGGGGAAATTTCCACTTGTTATGACTGTAATTAAAACCATTTCCCACCCTGATCTCATTTTTAATCTGACAAGAGTAATACCTTATGTTCTGGATCTTGGGACAAACTTAAGTAGAGAGATGCCTGACCATCTGCCTGAATCCAGAAGGTGTAATTGTTGGTCTGAGGAGCCACAAAAAATCCACGAAGCCTGGAGCTAAGCAAAAGCAGAACATCCGTAATATACAAAAGAGTTACTGCAAGCCCCTCCCCAGCCCCACACCCCACCTTCACACTACACTGACTAACAAGGAAAGACTATGAAACCAAGTTATAACGAAACAAACTCAGACATTTTAAAACTGAAGGAACCTCAAAATGACCCATTTTCACATTAAATGTCACGTATGCTTTACAGAAGTTTTCAAAAAGGAAAAAAAACAAACCAGCTCCCTGAAAATCAGTATGGTTTTGTTGTTGGTCACTTTTTTGTGCACTTCTTCTCGAGCAAAGTCTTAACCCTGAACAGGCAGGAAAAGGCTCAAAATCACACACCAGATCAACTGAGAAAAACAGAGAAGTGATAGAAAAGTGGAAACATTCATGCATATTGTGCAGCTTTTCAAGGGTGTATCTGAAGAGGCAAAGGGCACCAACACGGTTCAGATATTTTTGCAGCTTGGGGCAAATCAGTTTATTTCCATTAACTCCACCTGCGCTGCAGCTGCCAACATCAGCTGAGGATCTGGCCCTCCACATCTGGCCGGAGCTCCAGCCCAAGACAGCCTCTAACTGGAGCTCCTTCTACCTCCGCAGCAGTTTCTTTTGTGGTATTTCAGCACATCTAGGCCAGGTAGAGCAGAAATACTGAGTGAAAGCAAAAGGAGGAAAAATAAAACACTCACTGCATATATCGAGCTTCAAAAGGACCTCAGAGCAGAGGGTTTGCTTTGATTTATAGGAGCTATGCGGTAAGGCTCTGCTATAAAGAGCTGTCAGGTGTTATTGCTACACCTTACACTGCTAAAGGTGACTGCCATGGCTTCATCTTTCTTTAAGATCACTAAGTACCTGAAGGACTTCTTCGCCCCAGACAGAAATCTTACTGGGGAACTGGCATTAGGTACAAACTGCCATCTATATCCAGGACCTGCTTCTGTCAGATCAGAGGCATCATCCCAGACTTCAAAGAGAAGCCCTCTGTTTCCTAGAAAATTAAAATAAAAGTGTTTTCAGTAGAAGCCAACAAAAATCTCAGAGCACATGCTCGAATCAGTGGTGTAAGGACGCAGGCCAGAACAGAAAATTTTAATAATAAATTGGCTCTGTTTGTGGGTCTTTTTTGCAGTCCAAGGCAGAACACAGATCTTGCTTTAGGGAATTTGGTCTACCTTGAAATCCCCCACCAGAAAGAACAAAAATCTGCAGAATACAGGGCATCCAACCAAGCTCACATGTCTGCTCTTGCAGGAAAAGGTACTGAGATGACCCACAGTCAAAATGAGCTAAGACTCATTTTATGCACAATAATTTCCTACTGCAACACTCTGCTCAAGCAGTGTCCCCAGAAGCCTCTGCAGTAGCTCTAGTTCAGCTATCTTTCCTCTAAATATTATCCATACTTTTTTCCTGTGATTTTCCACAGCTCTACACACCAGGCTGACCTTCCTCCCACCATTGCCCATCTGTAAGTGGTGGGCTGAGCTCTCCACCTTGCCTTGCCTTGCTACAGAATCACAGAATGGTTTGGGTTGGAAGGGACCTCTAAAGGTCATCTAGTCCAACCCCCCTGCCGTGGGCAGGGACATCTGCAACTAGAGCAGGTTGCTCAGAGCCCCGTCCAACCTGACCTGGAATGTTTCCAGGGATGGGGCATCCACCACCTCCCTGGGAAACCTGTCCCAGTGTTTCACCACCCTCACAGTAAAGAATTTCTTCCTTAGATCTAGTCTGAATCTACCTTCTTTTAGTTTAAAACCATTCCCCCTTGTCCTATTGTTACAGGCCCTATTAAAAAGTCTGTCCCCATCTTTCTTATAAGCCCCCTTTAAGTACTGAAAGGCCGCAATAAGGTCTCCCCAGAACCTTCTCTTCTCCAGGCAGAACATCCCCAACTCTCTCATCAGCCTTTCCTCATAGGAGAGGTGTTCCATCCCTCTGATCATTTTCGTGGCCCTCCTCCTTATCAAACCTAGGAGAAACTGACAATTTTGAAGCAGACAGAATTTTGGAAAGCCCTGTTTCTCGATTGCATTCATCACCAAATGATTTCTGCCCCCCATTTCCATGTGTATTTGCTTATTTGGACCTTCAGTTATTTGAATACCATACCTGGCTGCGGGGCACCGAGCCTCCTGCCCTTGCCGACAGGCTCAGTGGTGCATCTGATTTGCTGCGGAGAGACGTGCTTGACTTTACAGGGGACACCTGGCAGCAGGAAAAGGAGACAAATGTGCTGTGAGAGACTTGGAAACACAGCTGAGCTGCAGCATGAACCCATCTTGTCTCCAAAAGGGGTCAACACTTTGCTAAAAGCCTGGGCTTATGCCATCAGACAAGCAAAACGGTTCATGCCCACAGTCAGAATAACTGGACTTTCCTGATGGTGGGTCCTACAACTCCCACACTGCTATCCATCAACATCAGCTGGGTTTTGTGGTCAGGGCCATGACCACTGTATTAAAAAACAAACAAACAAGCAAACAAACAAACACAAAACATTTAACACATTTCTCCTCTTACCTGCAGCAGTGACCTGCACCGGCTCCTCAAAGAAATCCCCCGTGACAGTGAGATCGGTGCCTCCTCCGAGACTCCCACCAGCTGGGAACACAGAGGTTATTTCTACAGAGGAAGGAAAAGGGGAATCTGAAAACGAGCGGTGGAAAGGTTAATCCCAGCCCTATTTCTGTCAGAGCCAGCAGTGCACTTGCACTGTTTCCAGCCGGAGCAGGCCCCTGTGAATGAAACAGGCATCTCACTGATCCTTCACGGGGTGTTTGGCAGCCGCTGGGATTATACCAGAAATGAACAACATGGATAACTTGGCTGCATGACAGGAGAAATACTGTGATGCTTGCACTGTTACTTAGCAGTGGCTGCATCTGTCATGCTCAGATTGCAAACCGGTATATTCTGTGCTATTGAGGAGCCCTGCAAAAAAAAAGTGGAATTAAAAATGTTTTAATCCTTTTGACCCTGTCTGACTCACTTCTCAATTTAGCCTGTAGGTTTAGATGTTACCACACTTTCCAACTGTCCCTTAGGGACAAATGGAAGGAGATGAACATCTGACATCTGAGTGTCCACATCATGACCATGAGAATCTTCTGGAATTTTATCTCTGTTCTGGAGATAAATGCCCTCTGGAAGTCATGCCCTTCCACACTGGAAACCTATTTTTCTCTTTGGAGACATTTACTCACTTTGCACTCAGATGTCCTAGTTTAACCACCCAATTGTACTTGTACGGTTCTGAAAAAAGACTAATAAAAAGATGAGGGAAGTTTGTCCAGATCTGCATTTTTTTCTTAATTTACCTGATATTTAAACTTTATTTTTACAATATTGACTACTGTCAAGTGCAGTACTGTCTACTGGACAGATCTGGCAGATCTTGTTTCTGCTGGTGCTCTGCCAATAGCCAACTCCATTCAGGATTATTTCATTTTACTGTGCCTCAATTTGTAAACAAAATTTGACATAAAATTATCCTCCTTTACAAAGTGATTTGAATTTATAGGTGAAACAAGCTGTATGCTATAAACAATATACAAAATGCAGACATGTATTGGCTATGTTCTAAAAAAAACCAAAAAAAATGCTTTTATTATCTCTTGAACCAAGCTTCTCAGATACAGCCCGTAAGCAACCAGTACGTTCATTACATTAACTTCAGCCAACTTAATGGCAAAAACTTGATGGGACCTTGCTGGGGACCCGTGCGAGTGAACCAAGTGGTCTTTCAGCTTTATGCGACCTCTGATTAAGGTCAAAGGCTGCCCAGTGCTCTGCAGTCCCTGATCCCCTACTTCTGCTTTGGCTGTTGGGCATACAGCCTTGTTGAATCTTGGACACTATTTGCCCATGACCATAATCTTGAGCGGGTGCTCAGGATTTCATTGTCTGTTGTCTACAATATAGCTGGAAATGTCACATGGAGGTTATTATTGTTAATGTACCTTATTTTTTTATTTTTTTTTTAAATAATGGTGCAGTAACCTGCCATTCACCATTTATCCAGAACTCAGTTCTTGGCGTGGCTGAACATCATCTCCTCCTTGTAGCTGATGTGGGATCACTCTCATCCTGAGGACTGCATTTCTAAACTCTCAATCTTACCAAATACAGTGTGATTTAAGGGAAAAAGGTGTTATAAAGCTTCTCTAGATGCAACACCTCAAGTCTACTGCTGATCTGACAAGACGGGGAACAATGATAAAGCAGCATCATCCCAAATCCTGTCATACCGCTGTTCCATGGCTGACTGTCTCAGGTTAGGCTGTACAAAACAGACAGAGTTCAAACATATTGAAACATATTTTCTCTCATCTTGAGGATGAGAGGAAACGGCCTCAAGTTGCGCCCGGGGAGGTTTAGATTGGACGTGAGGAAAAATGTCTTTACTGAAAGAGTGGTTAAAGATTGGACCAGGCTGCCCAGGGAAGTGGTTGAGTCACCATCCCTGGAAGTATTTAAAAGATGTGTAGATGCGGCACTTAGGGACATGGTTTAGTGGGCATGGTGGTGTTGGGTTGACGGTTGGTCTTGATGATCTTAGAGGTCTTTTCCAACCTTAATAATTCTATGATTCTACTATTCTATATCCCTGTCTGATACAGCCCATGGCAGCACACCCAGCCTTAGCACATAAATCTGGTCTTCCTGAAATTTTTGATCTGCAGCTTTTTGTGTAGTCAAACCCATACCATGGGAGTGGCAAACCTAAATTGAGGACACAACAGGATTACATCCTTGGGAAGAGAAACAGTGAGAGGTCTTTCCTTAGACCATGCTGGGACTGCCAAGGGACAGTGCAGCCAGTGAGGTGGATCAGTGCAATACCTGAATGCGTCTGATACAAGAAAAGCTCCTGTTTGGCACTGATGAGCCAAGCACCTTTGTGTACTGCTGACCTGCAAGAGAGAAAATGCCTGAGAGATCCTTGGCCATTTAAGTTAAAGTAGACCTTCTTTTGCCAGAGCTGGACAATCACTCTCCAAAGGAACAGTGGAACATTTCTACAAGGACCAACAACACCTTTCACCAAGCACATTGAGGCGTTGATTCAAGAGACTCCATTACATGGCTGAAACTCTTTATTGGAAGTACTGTCTTACTGTAAAGTATGGGTTTGACACCGTCAAAACACATTTTCACCTCCTTTTATGGCTAAATTCTTTCCCATTTGGATGAAGAGTTAAAAGCAAGGTGAAAATATTTTATTCAGCAAGGCTTAACAGATGACTTATGCTTTGGGCACTGCAGCTAAAGTATTAAAACCCCAAAGCAGAGATGCTTTGGGGGAGGAAGATTCTCCCTTTTCATTCCCAATCTGATGATAGTTTTCTCAAGATAGCAAAACCTCATTTCTAAGCAATGAAACACATGATTCAGTAAAAATGTCATGCATTTATCCTGGACTCAAATGCAGCTGTCCCCCCATGCAAAACCACAGAAAAAGAGAGAAAAAGATTCTTTTACTCACTTTCCTCTGTTAAACACCAAGAAGCTAACATTGTGGGACCCTGGAGGAGAGAAAAGTAATATGCTTTATGGCAGAAGCGTGGAGGGCTCCATGAAGAGTGCATCCTACCAAACTTTGTCCAGGTGTCCTGGGCCTGATTCTCCTCTTCCTTATACTTTCCTCACAACAGTATAACCGTGTTGATTTCAGCAGAGTGTGTGTGCAGGAACTGAACCGAATATCAGCTTAGGGAGCTTAGAGCCTTAGACAGTAGGTCGACACTATACTGTAGATATGTACAGTTATGTACCTGAACCTGCAAGCTGAGTTTCAGGAGCAGGATTTGGTTGCCTAAGCATAAGTGCTTTGTGTCATCTTGGATCCTGTGGACCCTATCTGACCTCACTAGCCATGCTAGGAAGGTACAGACCTCCTTCAAGACCTCCATTATCCAACACCCCACTGGAGAACTCCTAGATACCCCAAGATATCTCAAAAGCTCAGGCTATTGTATTGCGCCATCAGAGTTTACGTGAGAGCTAGATATTAGTTTCTATTTTATATATTTAACTCAGATCATCTTTCCCAAGCAGGAAGCTCGCTACTAAAAGCCTCCAAAAGAAATCAGAAGCTTCTTCAGAGTGCTTGGAAGCAAGGAAAAATGAAAGGGATTCAACCTGCTACCAGAGAAACCGTGAATAGAAGTGAGCACCCAATTTATCCTCTGATAAAGCAGTAAAGGGAAGGTCCACATATAAGGATTAAAGTAAAAGTAGTAAACTGAGCAAAGACTCCAAACCACATTGTTGCTGTCAGCAATGCCCACATCATGTCATGGTTTCACTTGAGCACCGCACTTCATTTTCTCCAAAGCTGTGCAGAGGATGCAAATCACAACAGTGGCTATGTTGAAGACTGCTAAGTCTTGATCTGAAGAAGGTTTTGTGGACTCAGCCCTGAGCCACATTCCTAACTTTGGAGACAGAACAGGAACTTATGATTGACACCCTCCCTCTGCCCTCTGAAGTTGCAGGAATACAAAACCCCATGCTTTTTACCCCTTTTCACCAACCTATATGGTCCCCTTCCACCCGACACTGCAGGGTTCCTAGTCCGTCTTCTGCCCGAATAGGGTAGCTGTGGAGAGACAAAGGACTTTTCTGAGCCTTGGGAGCAAAAAGAGCAAAATACAGTGAGAATCATCTAACCAAAAGATACGGGCTTATACATCTAACCTAGTCACACTTGGCTCCCTTTAGAAACAAGGGAGAGAAACAGGTGAGATGGGAGAGCAACAACCCATCTCCCCACTGATGATCAAGAGTTCAGCAGCTTAGGAGAGTGCCTCCAGCAACACACAGTGCTCCAGCTTGTTTCCAGAAGCTGATCCTGTTGGTGACCTTCAGAACCCTCATTTGAAATAAAAGCTGAGGGGAGACAAGTCTGGGCACATGGTGAGGGTGAATAGGACAAAAGTGTTTCCCCTCTACTTGCTCCTCTGCATGTCCCTAATCTGTAAGTAGGAGCAGATAGCAATTAAACCAGATATGCTGGCATTACATCAAGCTTCTGGAGCCACAGAACGACGCAAGTCCCGTCATCAACTAACATTTGCATTTAAGTCCCCCTCCTGAGAGCCATGAGGAATTTTGCAGTGCAACAAGAGGGCCCCCTGAGGACCCCAGGAGTCTTAGCACTGACTTCTGCGGGAGCAGGTTTTTCCCCTGGTTCCCTGTAAAAGCAGCCTCCCTTTTCCAGGATCACAGGCACTGTGAGAAGTGCATCATTCATAAAAGAAATGCTACTGCAGAACCCATGGCTTTTTCTGTTATTCAGCAGGGTGCAAGACCAGCGGTCTAAAGGGTCTCCTGCAACTTACAGAAGAGAAGGGTACCTTAATATCAATAAATGAACAGGGCCAGGGCCCAGGCACCAGAACCTGTCTGCCTATGCTGTTAAATTTTTAAAGCTCTACTTGCCCAGTCGGGGCTCAGATCAGCTAATCCATCTTTCAAATTCATGTCTATATATGACTGAAGACAACGCATTGACCAGGGTCAATAGGTAGCTTGGAAATAGCTACCCTGTTTTGGAGTCTAAAGGTTTGAACAGAACAGAAGTGACCAGGGCATAGTATATCATTTCTGGGCCAGAGAACAGCCCCTGGCCCTGCCTGGTTATGTCTAGAGCAACAGAGAGCCAGCAGCTTTCACCCACCCCTGTCACAGACCATATGGTCAACTCCCCATGGTCCCCCCTCCATCTTAAGCCAAAGCAGAAAAGCTTTTCCAAAAGCCAAGAAAATTTTTGTGCACAAGCTGTGCTGAGCCCTCGCACCAACACAAACCAAAGGCAAGTCAAGAACTGACATGCTTCCAGCTCGCCTGTCAGCAAAAGAGCAGAGACTGGTCCATCCGTCTCCTTCTGCCACAAGGATAGCTGGCCTAGGCAAAAGGACAGGAAAGATGAGATGTGATACAACAAAGTTTCACGAACAAAACCCTGATCCTGTTAAAATCAGCAGCAGATATTTTCAAATGGGACAGGAATTTCCCCTCACTTGTATCTAGCATTTATTAACCTCCTAGAAAACTGGACAAACCCTGATCTCTCAGATCTTAGCCTGCGAAGCATATTCCCCAAATACTGCAGGAACTGCACCTCTGTAAAGATTGTGGCAGGACCACCTTTGAGACAGCTAGCTCTGAACAACCTGATGCCTCCTCCCTGTAGTAAAGTGTTGGTAGTCTGAGACCCAGGAGGACTACACTCACCCTTACCTTCCAGAAGCAGCAGGCAGCACAAGTACAGCATCATGCTCGTACAGCCATACTGCTTCAAGATGCAGCTCAGGCATTTCTTTATTTCACTGAGGGAAAACACTACAAACAACCTCTGCTAGGAATCATCCAAGCTCCTAATAGCAAATCCAAGTATCCCCACCTTAAAGAACCAATATGGCAAGTGACAACTTCCACAGGAGAGGAGAAATCAGGTAGGAGCAATAAATTCACAGTAATTAGCATAATAAGCAAAAGGTAGCAGTGCTTCTTTGAAAATTAACAGGCAATTAAGGAAAATATGTAATTAAAACCTGAAATGCAAACACTTTGCTATTACCCTTGCTTCAGAGTGTAGTTTTATGAGGTTTTATTAAGAGTTTGCTTTTATTAATACAGCTTGCTGATATTGAGATGCCTTTCTTTTTAAGGATGAACAGAAAAAAATTCGGTGCTGCAGAATGTTTGGTTCAGCATCACTGGACCATTGCATCCCATACAAAGCATGGAAAAGGGTGCAGAACGCCCTTGGAAGTATAAAAACTGTTCTCTTTTTTTGCTCCAAATCCTGAATCAGTGCAACTGAGTGAAAGACTGCTCTGGTCAAGTCCAAGTCCTCACCTGGTACATATTTACTAACACACCAAAAATGGGCAAATTATTCATGTGAAGCTGTGATGTGAACCTGTCTGGTATGCTAAGATTTTGAGGCCATTTCCTTTTTGGCGACAGTGAGGTTAAGCTGTAAATGAGTAATCTACAAAGGGAGCATGCAGGCACGTCCAACCTGCAGTCAGGCAGACCAGCCTTTCTTCCCACTCATCAAAGGTTTCACAGTTCCACTAGAGGCAGGTAAAACAATAATTAATATCGAACAAAGGATCTAACGTGCATCCAGTGAGCAAAAATGTAGGGCTGATAACCGGGTGCAGCTGGTATGGCAGGAATCTGCACTGGACTTCCATTCTCGCTAGCAGAGAATTTAGTTACTTAGCAAGGGACATTTCCATTCAGCCTGAGAAGTAGTTAAAAAGCAGCTAGTGGTCAAATACCTGCTGCTGCAGTCAAAATTTCTGACTACTGAGAATACATGCCTTCCCTGGCTCCTGAAATGATCCTTAAAATGCCAGCACAGTAATTATAGATTAATACTTTAAAATACTCACCTGGGCTTAGTTCCTCACTGCCATTGACACAAGTGCAAGGAAATCATAATTCAGTAGTATCTGAGAACACTTCCATACATATGGAAATACATATGACAGACGGCAGGTCAGCGTTCATGCTCATTTTGGATTCACTCTGCTTAAAGTGCTGCTGGCCTGAAGTAAATTTTTTAAATCTACCTGCTTTGCTCTATTGCATGTAGCCACAGAAGCAACAGAAAATAAAAATCAAACCTTCCTTGAGAACAAGGAAGTGACCAGAGAGGGTTTAAAGCAGCAAACAACAAAGCCTTTTGTCTCAAAATACTTCTGCTTTGTCTTCTGACTCACCAGAGCATCTGTTTCGAACTAATAGTTTTTCTAAAAATGCAAATGGAAGGGAAAATTTATTTAACTTTTAGATTCTGACATTATTTTAATTAGTTAAATTCTAATTTGATAGCCAAAATAAAATCTACAGCAACCAGACACAATTACAGTACAATTCACACTGAGCTGTGATTGACTGTGCTGCCAGTAAACAAACCAACTAGCTTAATGGACCAGTTGCAATTAGATTAACAAAGTTTGCTGGAGCCCAACTCATGAGCTGCAATAAACCACAAAGGAAGTAAATGGCAATTCTGGGCCAACTGGTTTCAATTTATTGCTGTCAAGGAGGCTGATGGAAGAAACATCAATTTACAGGGACTGGGTCAGATAGCAGCCTGTATATAATTACCCATCAATATAATCCACATTGAAGTCTAGGGTCTCATATCTTCCAGCAATTGTCTTCCCATAAATCTCTATTAAATTTCCTGTTTAAAAGGAAATAGAAATTGAAGAAAGTCTTTTAAAAGCAGAGAATTTATATTTGCAGATTTTGTGAACTGGACAAAAGAAATTCTTGGTCTTTGCAAATTTTGCAGAGAGGTGCCCAACCGGCTGCACTGGTGTCTACTCTCAGCTTCTACCATAGTTCAAGGTGACTTTACACTTAATTCACTTTTCCCAAAACACACGTCTTTGTTTCCCACAAAAAAGTCCATTCCTGATTTTTCAGCAGATCTCTAGTATTTGTGCTGAGAAGACATTTTCCTCAACTCTTTTGTTAACTAAACCCCACATTCTAACCAAATTCCACTGTAGAACCTCATGAGGCAACCAAAATGACATCATTTGTACACTAGACAGAGTCAAGGTTTAAAGAAGGACCTCAGCATATATGTGGCCAGCTGAATCACTCCCAACACTCCCTTGACCACACTGGGTGACAGCTTGGTTCAGTTGCCTGCACAGAGGTGTCTTAAATCATTTGAGGCACCCTATCCTCCCACTGTGGCTCCAGAAGGGACTGAGTCTTCCTGGTTCTGTGTCATATCTACCTGCTCCATGCAGGTCCTTCATGCTCCAGGACATCCCAAATAGCACTAGACACTTAGTGTTGCTCTCATGTTCTTCACTGACTGCACCGGGGGGTCAAACTTGCAGCTAACACATAGAAACCTCCACACAGACACCCTAAAGCAAGGCATGAGAATCTGGAGCTGAACTGCACCTGAAAATAACTGGAAATGAGGGATGGACTTAGATTTAGGAGCATCTATATGATCTAATCATCCAGGTACCTCTCTGCACCCTTGAGAGACCAAAATGTTTTGATTAATCTTGACTTTGGAAATCAGCATTTCAATTTTCTCTAAAGAAGCCTGCAAATACAAACAGAATAGAAATAGGGGAAAAAAGTCTTCCATATGCCAGTTAACTGTTCAGACCAAAACCAGTGACTGTCTTCTCATGTAACTTTAAAGTCTGACCTAAAGCCCCATTAACCAAAAGGTCTGTATGGCATTACAATATCATCACCTAATAGCTAATTCTTCTTAAATCTATTACTAAATAAATAGGGTCAGATGACTCAAGAGTTGAGGCTGATTAGACCTATCCATCTGCTGAACAACATCTTTCTACTCGGGCAGAGTTGGGCTGCAGAAGCCAAGTACCAAATAATCTGGTCACTGTGCGTTACCCACTTCTCTTGTACCCAGTGCTGCAGACTCTCTCCCCTTGTGCAAACCCACTTTCCTGTTCAGCATGAGCTTGGACATTAAGTTCTGGAGGTGCCCATTTTAATCCCCAGCAAGACAGATTCCTCATAAGGAGAAAGACAGTATGGAACATCAAATAATAATTAAAGTGGGCTCCAGCTTAAAGAAAGGTCCCATACCTGGGATGCCAGATGGTGGACTAATTTGGTAAACCACAGGTGTCTGCGCAGCAGAGAACTGCAAAGAGAAATTTGTAGTTAAATGGCAGTTGTTTTCACAGCAGCCCAACAAGGTCTGATTACGCATTGCTCACAACGCAGTTGGCAAGTGCATTTCAGAGACTCACACTTCAGATTTGAAGCAGAGTAGGGAGTAAGTACAATGTCCCCTTCTTGCCCCTTCTGCATTCAGAGTCTGGCTTGCTGCTATTTTTGCATCCTTTTTGTGCCCAGATTGTCCACCCTGGCTGGAGTCAATTCCAGAAGATATGGTTTAATACACTATAAAATTTCTGAGCCATGCTTTGTCTGAAGTAGAGACCTCCGTTTTATCTTGCATTATGGCACCATTTTTCTTCCCTATAATATACTCTTAAAAACTATTTCTACATCACAAAAGTGATACACTTCAGCTAGCCTTTAGCAAGCTTGTTGAGTACCCTAAAGCAGTGTAGCAAAGAAAATGCTTGTATTGGCCCATCTTAATGCAGTATAATACATCAGCGGTGTCTTTGGGAAAGCATTACCTTGCCCTCTGACTAAACAACAAGGAAATACTGGAAATTTGCTATGGGGTACTACTGTTTACTTTAACAGAGTCCAAGGAGGAGCAGGGAGATTGTGCTTTGAGGCAAGCCTCTCAGAAGATGGGGAACACACAGGGACCCTTTCCAAGTGGAGGAAGGTCATCATCAGCCTCCCAAAGTAGCTGAGAGACATGGATACCTGACCTAGCACATGCTTTGGCTGCATTTTCAACAAGTAGAGCAGCCCTGTTGCCCTTTTTCTCCAGTTGACTCTAAAATCTGTGAGACTTAACCAAAATTACTCTAGAAATTTTTTGTCTAGGCTGGCACCAACCCTATTCAAATGGCGTTGTGTGTGGGAGCACTACCCATCAGTTGAGTGGGCAGAGGTACACATGGTCCTCCACGCGCAGCTAGCTCACATGGAACCAGTATTTTCTGTAAATGTCCCCGTCCCTGCCTGGAAGATGGCAATCCAAACAGGACAAATAAATGGATGGCTTCAGCAGCTAAAAAGTGTCTTTTGTCCAAATCGAGTGTCTGGATCCCAGGACTAAAGGAAATAAAAAGGCAGTGGAAACTCTTTGGATGTGTTTAAAAAATTCCTGCTCTGGATAAGGAGTTGTCTCCAGCACACTAGGCACTATCCAGTGCTGGGTTAGCTGAATATCGTCCTGTAACAAGCTGATGAAGCCAAGACAGTGTAGTGTGGTGGGAACATACCTGGAGATGCAATGAAACAGAGCTGGATGTCTTGGGAAGGCTACAAGGAGAGTTATGGAAAGGGAAGATGGGCTTTTGGACTACGCCTATATGAGTTAATAAAATAACTTGGAACCTGCTATTTGGCCCAGGGAACAGCACAGCTTATATCCATGTAG